CCAACAATTTTACCACTTTCTAAGCATATTTTACAAAAAATTTATTTTTATCATTAATTACTGAAATCTCCAATTTGCTACCATGGGATGTTTTTAGAGCTTGTCTAAGATAGCAACAGCAACCAAGGGGAACTCCATGTAAGAAAATTAAACAAGTTCTATAAATAAAATGGATATATGCTGACAGTTTGAATGCTTATAAATAACAGTCAGTATTCACTCCAGAAATATCTTTGTAGTGTGGCCTGCAGATACATCATCTATGAAAGAGCGATTGACTCCATCTAGTGGAGAGAATGACTCTCTGCCTGCATGTGATTCCACACATGGCAACATTTTGAAACTCACTCTGAATCATAGCCAAACACAAAACCCTACTCAAGATGAGCTTAAGATGCCATTCGTCAAAGTCAGTTGGCTCAAGTGTAGCATGCAAAATATAATTTCCTCATCCACATGAAGTCAAATTACAGGTCTAAACTTGAAATGTATTGTTAACTATGTAGTTTTTGGTTTAAAACCAGGATTAAGCTCTACCGTTTAAGTTCCTCTGCCCAGAAGTGAACAGTTTGCTGTGCATTTAGTTTCTGTAAGTCTTTGTGCTGTAAAACTACAGTCTTCGTTTATACAGGACGTACAATAAAACGTTGAGTGAGTCATTTATTTTCATTTCTCAACCATTCATGCCAATTTGTGCTATCGACACTGGTTTGTTTAAAAGGTTGAGTAAGAGAGGATGTGGAAAAGGAGGGAAGCAGTGAGACAGATAGAAAGCAGGAGGGAGCTGTCACAAATGAAGACAGCTGTCAGCTGGGATGGCGAGGGTCAGAGGTTAAGAAGGAAAACAATGGGGGTGGAGAGTGGAATCTCAAACAACAGGAAAAGGCTTCTACACACAGACTCAGACATGTGGGCCTCCGGAACTCTCTTTGAGAGATGGTGACAACCAGACACCTTCACCAGATCAGCTGCTCTATGCTAGCATAACGTGTAGGATAGCTTCTACTCACCAACAAAAGGAGACTCCATGGCCCTGTACTAAATGCCTCTTAACCTTTTCGGTAACACTGTCATATAGATAGGAACTAGTCCACTGCACTAAGGAAGCACTGATGTGGGAGTTCATAAATCATAAAATTTAAAATATATCAATATGATGCTGTAGACCTCATTGACATGCACGAGCAAATGTAAATCCATATCAAGTGCGCCATTTGGAACAGGGGACAGGGCAGTGGGTTTCTGAAATTCTTTTGCTGGATTGTGCTGCCCCCTGTCAGTAGCATTTGTTACTACATTGATAGTTTGTGGCGATTTTAAATAGGCCCTCAATTAAAGCTTAAAACACTTACACATAACAAATTATCCCTTTGTCTAATAGTTATATTTTCTTAAAATTAAACTAACGATAAACTGATTTCTTATTAATATCAGTTCTTGGATTAACGTTTTAGTGTATTTATCAGAGGGAAATTATTTA